TCATACAACTGCGACCATAATTTCTTGTGTTTACCCTGGCTTTTATATATATGCTTTTTAAGTTTTTACTTACTATGCCTCATATGCTTTAATCTTACTATTCTGGAAAATTTTCACATACTTAGAAGTGCTATTTAACCATTTTTTTGCCTACACAAATGTCATGTTAGGCTACTTTCCATTGACATATTCTTTGAAATAATTTTTAGCGATTTCATATTGCATTATTCTAACAACAGCCAGTCCAATTCACCAATATTTTTAATTTTTCAATTAACTCTTTGATATGTATGACAAATATAATAATCTATTTTATCTGAAGCCGTATGAGTACATCCGAAAACTGATAACTTGTCTAAATAATTCTTCGCTTAAGAGCTCCCTTGGAGTCATGCCAATAATCTAGCTCAAATTTATTGTCAATGACCCTCAAATCCAAACGACCATCTTTAAGCTCCCACTAACCTGAATCAGTTTACTTACCTTTACTATTTGTTCTAACTTAGTTTGATTATGAATTGCGTCTATGCAATATTGATCTTCCTACGTATGTATATTACCTCAACAGCTGATTTCGAGGCAAACTCATATCATGGAATGTCGGCTGATATTCTGACCACAATGCTTTCTCAGGATACCAATCTCTTGCGTCTTCTTACCCATCGGTGGGTTACACAGTTGCTCTCCTCTCACGAATACGCTGTTACCCCTAATCCGACTCTTACGAGGCTGGACTGTGAATACAGAGTAGGCCTGTCGGAAAGCGAATGCCGCCTGGCAGCTAGAGCCGTCCTAATACCGGTCGAGGATACTTTGGGACCGACAATCCGCATGTCTTATCGTCAACTTAACGTAGGAACTGGTAGGTAAATTTTTTAAACAGAGCTGTCACGTCAGCTTCTATTGCTATACTAATTGACGCGTAGTAACTTTCTTATTCCGTGTATTCCTGATTATTCTCAAGCCTGAGCTTATTTTATATCTATTTTTCATTATATTTATTTTTTTGACCGCAATCACTACATCCAGCTTACTCTTCAAGAGTGAGAGATTAGGGCTAACTTTTGGTATGGATTCTAATTATTTCTAAATAAATAATTATTTGCAATGTAAAATAATATGAAATTAACTATTCCCATAATGAAATTACGAATTGACAAATCTTTCATAAAATACGCACTAAAATAGACGAAAATAGTTTGGTGTCAGAAAACGGATGTAAAAATTAAATAATTTCAATTTAAATGTGGCTGACTAGCTATTAGAAAATTGCAAATGCTCCAGGCTCCAGGATCAGCTACCTCATATCACATGGGCATTGGTTACTTCTAGTTTTTAGCTAGAATGGCTTTTACCATCAAAAACTCGTTCGTGTGAGTCAGACAACAAAGCATTACTATTTGGTTACAACTTAAGTGCAAGTTAATTACAGATCAGATGAGACCTGACATGGTCAATCACTGCATATCATCCGTCATCCATGACATTTTCTTGCATTCTTTTTTTTATTAATGAAAGTCTCTTAATAATAAGTCGTATGATAACTCTTCATATTTCATAGTCTTAAAATCAATATTTTTGAATACTTATGCAGCAAAAGACAAAGAAGATTGCTTATTTTTGTCACATTTTATCAGATATCGTGGTCAATGTCGTTGATATTGTCTTAGTTTCGGTTGTTTGCGTTAAAGGATTCCGTTATAAAAACGGCCTCATCTACTATTATTTTTTGTGTTATCCTTCATAATTAAAGTTGATTTAGATAGGTATACTTTGATTACTTTTCTCCAGTGTGTTAATTTATTTTTGCCTGATTTTGGTTAGATCCGGATAGCCATCTTCGTCTTTCTCAATATCAATTGAAGTCATCGTTATCACCGACAGCGGCAATGACTACTCGACACTGTCGTTTTGTCTCACCAACACATGCCGTCGTCTTCTACGATGAATGGACTCGGCACTACGAGTTGCTCAACTATAGCGAGCATGGAACCCTTGTGGATAGTGTGCTATATTCGAACGACATATCAGAGAAACCTATCTGCCAATTAAAGGTATATTATCGTTGCTATGACGTACAAGATATTGTGGACCCTCGTTTGATTGCGGTTTCATTCCTATGCATAGAGTTAGTTTTCATTCGTTAGCGCAACTTAGTCGTGCTTAAAGATATTCCATACTGCATCTACTATTGTCGTCATGCGTTCTTCCCACATTGGATATTTTATTGAGCAAACCCTCATCTTTCATCCTGTCATTGTAGTCTGCAGATATGAAGAAAAACTAAGTTTAGAGGAATTACTTAGTGATCGCTGAGGAGTGAAGACTTGCATTGTGCGAAGAAGTCATCGGCTTATCATCCTGACTCCGCGATGAACCTTTGCTAAACTTTCGTCTGTACCGTGAGAGATATCATCAGAGCAAGAATGCAGAGCTAAAGCATACTAAACTTTTTCTCTAGGATCCTTCCTATACTGCTTGTCATAGTATAGACGAAAGATTAGCACGGGTTCATTGTGATCGCAGTACAGTGAGTCGACTTCTTCGCACAATACAATAGTCCTGCTCACACTGTGATCTTTCGGTTTCCGGTTAGATCACGGAACTGGAAAGTCATGTCACAGTTATAGTCTTATTTTTGATGAGATGCTTCATTCTTAACATCATGCGAAATCTTGCCCAAGGGACTATTAAAGGTAATCCTCTTCACTAATATTTATTCGGACAATAATGCCATCCTTTTTCCTTAACCATCTGTTGCATGCTCGATCTCATAACGCTTCATCCTTGTTCCTCATTTCCACTTAATATAGCGAATTTTACTCTCATTTCTATCCTTTATTCTGATTTACCCCAAGTCTACTTTCCTAAGAATGAGTTTTATGAGGGGCAATTACCCTTACCCTCGGTTTCCATCTGCAGATCTTTTCTGTCCCAAATGATAACTGTCGGTAATTCGAGTTTTATCCAGCTTTATCCGCTTTTCTATCTTTTTTGTCCTTAAAATCTATTTTTTCCAAACTAGCTTTCACTCGATCCTAGCCATCGCATTCATTGTATTCGATAAATTATTTACTTTAACAGCTTCGAACGTATTCTAGCACATGTACAATAGCCTTATTGAGGGCGGCTCTCAAAATCTTGATCATCATGCTTGCTGCCCTTGCAATATTCCCTGGCTTCACAGCCACAATTGTACGGTTGTCACTCCCCTACTTCTGCTCCATTTCATCGCATTTTATAGGGCATTAGGGAACGTCTGGAATGTGCCCCATCACCGTTTTGGTGCTGAAAGTACACGTAACGAAAAGGTCAGAAAAAGCGTTGCAGCATATGTTATTTTTTGGGGTCTTGCTAAAAACACGACTAGGCTTCGAAAACAAGATCCAGCCAAATCAGTTATGGTATTTCAGTATGAAGTCACCATTATCTCTGCCTCTTTATGTCTTGCTATTATTTTGTTGGAAAAGGCTCAAAAGGGTTTGTTGATTAATACTTTACAGCAGTCGCTATTTCCTTTTTAGATGCGACTTCGGGCATTGTACCCCTGACATATAGACTAAATTATGCTTAGTAAACAAGATATCATTTCCCTTATTAGATTTGCATTCCCTGCTTTTATATTTTTAA